CTCTTCGGCAGGATTGCCCAGACGCCATGGACGCTTTTGATCGGAAAGATCATGACGTCCCGCGTCATCAGACGCCCCGCGCTTCCCGGCAATAGCCAGAGAGGTAGAAAGGCCATGAGATGAGCTCAAGCAGCGGCCCTGAGCTCTTGCGGTCAAAGATGCAGAGTTCGCGTGAGCATTAGGGGTTAGCCTATACGTCGCAGGGCGGCAATCCGAAGGAAGTCGACGGCGTGCCTTGAGTTTGGCAAACTCAAATCGGAGGTGTCGCTCCTCACGCACGTCCACTTCCTTGTGTCTCGACTGTAGGTATACAGTGAAGAAAGTTTCCGGTGCCGTTGCACCCATCGCTCAATGAGCGCTTCGTCATCTGTAGCGCTTTTTGCCAGGGGCGAGCACCACAGGTATTATCCGCATTGCGGGTACACGAAAGACACCTGGTTGAGCACTTAGACGAGTACTATAAGCTTCCGATGGAAGTTTTTGTGGAACCAAGAAACGAGCTCGAAGAGCTTTCCGTTTTGCAAGTTCATCTTCTGATCTGGTTGGGGGCCCGATGATGTGGACGCGGAACGATCGAGTTACCGCGTCCTTCCCTTCCACATCGGGATCCGCTGGACGGAAGCCATATTCCACACGAGGATCAATGACCGGCCGTGGATGAACGCGCTTTAAAGCCGTCCTATGGGCAGCTTCAAGCTGCCGCTTCTGAGCCACGTCGAGGTCATTGGTGATTACACCACATTCTTTGGTTGACGAGAAGTCAGGAAATCATCTAATCGTAAGATGATGTTTACTTTTGGTGCCAGGTCGGCACCCAATAGACATGGGGTCCGCAACGCACAGGGCTCGTATCACGCTGCCGACGCAGCTCGCATTCCTCGTCATCCCATACGGGAAAAGGAGTGTCAGACTCGTAGTCGACCGCCTCCGCATCCTCAACGAGGCCACTTGTCATTGATAGCGTGTGCAAAGCGCGATGCTCGTGCTCATCGAGCCTAGGATGTACATCCCCCGGTGCCGCGAATGCACTGTCCGACATCGCACCGCAAGCGGGAGGCGAAGTTAGGCTCTGACCGTGCTCGCTGTCAGAACCGGCGAGACGTGGTGACTTTCGTGTCGTGGACAAAGGGCTTTTTGAGCACGGAAGTCGTTTTATTCCAACAAATTGAGTTGCAGTGTCTAGCGGTCATGCGAGCCTCGTTGAGGCAATAATCGATTGGAACTGTGAATGTTCTCAATCTTAATGGG